CGTAAATTAACGATTTTCAATTTACTGAATTGTGACTGCTGAGGAAAACACAAAACATAATACGTCTGAGTGGTTTTGTGCGAAACCCTGCAAGCAAGGAGAAATAGTTGAGAACAATTTTGAACAATATATATAGAAACAAAGGAATGCTTTTGATTCGCGTGTAATTTAATTACTTTCGATATTTTCAATTTTGTGTTTATTTCTAGTTTGGGGTGTAAACCTCAGAGATGGAGCGTGCGTCGCCTTAGAGACTGCGTCAAAGATATCAACAAAGAATACCTCAGATACCGCACTTTGTCAAAGGCAAGGCGATCTACGACCATTGTTCCAGAACCGAAACAGCAAAGGCAGACGGAACGTAAAAAATCCTTTTTCTGAATTGTAAAAACACAAAACGAAGATGATTTCCCAGCGATTCATATTTTTGGTCTTCGTTAAAGTCAACCTGATCAAAGTTCAAAACAGGTCTCTTCATCAAATTTCAACGCACCATTATAGGATGTTTGTTTAGTCTTTTGATCTAAAGAGATACAACTAACTGTTGCGCCTTTTCATTCGAGGAATCGCACGTAACTCAAGTTGAACACATCAGAAAGGCCTAATATCGACTTCTCGTCGAAAAATGTGTGTGGGGTATTGGAGGGAAATCCTTTCGATCTGTACCAATGCGGTAACATACTATGGGCTGGAGAAGGGTAAAAACGCCTTCAATTTTCGCTCAACAACACGCACAGTCTTCGAGTTCGAATTGTTAGGTCCATGCGCTGATTCAAAATTCGGGTTCAAGTTTTTATGCGACTATATTGAGACGTGATAGTGCCTGTACTATTTTGGTTTGTAAATGTAGGTAACCCAGTTTGTATCATATATTACAAAGACTATCATAATGAGATGATTCTCAAAGATTCTCATAATCTTTCAATACACTAGCCCTCCATTTCTGTAACTAGGAAATTTTCAAATTCCGTTTTACAAGAAGTGCCTTCCTCCAAATTGTATGATGATATGATTGAATGTATAAAAACTAGTTTTTATGTCTGATCATTTTATTGTATAATATTGTTACGTTGTATAATCTAATAAAAAAAAAATTAAAAATTCCCAAAGATAAAGCTAAGAGCGACGTAGATGGATTTCTGGAGGGGGTCTACAGGAATTTCTAGGAGATAGGTATACCTTTAATTTAATTTCTTACTATCTTTCATTTTTGCCTTCATCGTGTCACAAATCCTCATTCCTTGAAGAATCATTTCCTTCTCCTAAAATACTTGTTTGCGACACTTTCTTGCGCATCCTTCTCATTATCGCAGAATCAGAATACGCTATTGCCGTGTTTTCGAAATTTATAATTCGTGCGCAGCGTGTTTCCATAAAATATTACTCCGTTTATCTGGGAGGTGAGGCGGCAAAAACCTATATCCGGCTCTGTTTTTTTTTAATATAGTACACCGTTCTTAATATTCACGAGAATTTCTTATCAGTAATCAGCCAAAACACTTATATCAGTTACTGGGAAAATATTCAAACGGGACCACTTCCCAACATAATAGCCCGGATAGCTCAGTCGGTAGAACATTAGGCTTTTAACCTAAGGGTCCTGGGTTCAAGTCCCAGTTCGGGTGAATGTTTTGCTCCTTGTGTAGATAGAGCCTAGTTAACGAAATCTCAGGAATGGAATTCCATTGACTACGTGATATGAGGAAATATTTCTCGATGTAGTACGTATCCGAATTTACCTCTATACAGCATGCTTTGTTCGAGAAGAAAAAGGGGAAGAGATAAACAACCGGGGAAAAAATAAATTAATTTATTGTCAAAATCTCAGTTTAACTTATGCTACAAGCATTAACATGCGATAACAATAATAGCTACCAAAATGGAAATAAATACTTAAAAATAGAGACAAGTGTTACATACAAGTCAGGGTAAAATCAGATATGTACAGTTTAATAAATAGTTCGCATTGCACTTTGTCAATGAAGGACACAATTTTAATCCTATTTAAGGAACAGTAACTTAAACTCATGCTTTGCCGAAATAATTTAGTTAGAAAGCTAAAAATTGACACTACGATTTAAGATAGGAGAATAAGTTCGCTGGTAAAACATTTTAATCATTTCGAAGACGGGGCAAAGATGCATCATTGTAAGACATGAAAGTCATTTGGATGAATGTTAACACCAACACTTAAGTATGTTTTGGGTAGATTGAGTCTAATTTTACGCAAACCCCCCCCCCCCCNACAGACAGTAGAAAATACGGCTATTTAGATATGTGCGGATGCAATCAAGTTTAGTTGAAAATATCGAATCGTTTTTCCCGCAAGAACTGATAAAAATGTTTAATAGCTTGGGGCCATGATATGATGAACTGTTGGAGCAATTTCAATCATATTCTCGGTTTTTATCACAAACCGATCAAGCTACAGATCAAGCATTTAAAATAAAAAATGAAGGGCAAAGAGTTGAAACTGAATTGCGATTAAAAAAGCACAGCATGAAATTTTGACTAAACATAATAAAAAAATGTACAATATTAAATCCACACTATGATAACAAGCAGAGAGGGCGCTATTTCCTTCGGAGAGAGCATGTTGATTTTCTAGCTTGTTTTAAAAGGAAACTTATGCTGTTTTCACGGACAAGAAATGATAACAGGCACAGGATCCGGAATTTCTTGACTCGGAAGGGAAAAATTGATCGAAATGAAGCACTTCTTCAATATTTATTTACCGTTACTCGCAGAGAGCAAACAGCTATTGCTCTGTTATCCAGAAAATGAAAAAATAAGTAAGATTAGCTCCAGGGTAAAGTTTTTTTCTTGAAGCTTTGACCAGGATGTTACCAGGTTTCCTTCTGAAGAGCGAACAACAAGAATACGTTGCCATATTTAATATTCCAAAAAGAGCACGAAAATGAAGTTTAAAACATTGCAAAATTTTGAAGAAAAAAAAATCAAATTGAGTGTTCTGTATTCTTCTTAAGGATGACTTATCTGAAGGTAAACAACTAAAATAGAAGTGCAAACTATTATGCAAGACAAGAATGCTGGATATTCTTACAAATGGCACAGGCAGCGATTCCTCGCAAAATAAACAAATTTGGTAAAAAAAAAAAAAAAGAAATTCAAGACACTCCTGGACTGGGCAGCGAGAAGAATGAAACGGTATTCAGATTCATTGGCACAACCATTCTTACTAGTTCTCTTTCGTTTTTGTTCTTTAATATATATTTTTCATCGTGGTAAAGGGGTGACAAACGCAATACGTTTCGCGTAGGTGAGAACTGTGGAAAAGAGACCGATTCCATTACATCAGTCGTATTTTTAAACAGCTGAAACGATTGTCTGAAAGGCTTTTAATGTAACACCAAAAGGGCACAGAGTCACCCTGTTCAACTTTCCCTGAACTGAAAATAAATCTGTAATTTTTTTTTTAGCAAGTTGAACTTTTTTGACCTAAAGCTTGAGTGACAGCTCAGAACTTTCGTGATAAGGTCTGAACAGGTACTATAAAAGTCAAAGTTGATTTCATCACGCAGAATCCCATAAGGAAAAATGGAATCATGCCTTTTTTATCCAAAATGTTTCCTCCCATTTTAATTCCATTTGGTTTTATACTCTTCTCATCTTAACAATTTAATGGTGTAGATAATTGTTAGACATTTTTTTTTAGGACAAACTTAATGTAAAAAAGCACACTCTGTAAAAAAAAAACTTCAAGCCTTAATGTAAGTTCAGTCTCCTTTCAAAAAGTAAAAAAAAAAGCAAAAGCGACGATTTCAAGACACATACACTGAGGTACGCATTTTTAGAGTTTCACCGTCGATGTGTTTTTTCCGTGTGCCACAACTAGCCGATCGAATCCTTACACCACGGGTTACCATCAGGGTTGCAATGCTTCATGAAAAATAAAATCTTGAAATTTTGTGTGAAATATTTCATGCGATTTCAGAAAAAAATATGAAAAATATTGAAACATATTTTTCGAAATTAAATGCAAAACCAAATAAAAGGCGACTGGGTTTTGCTTTTTGGTGTTTTTTAGTGCAAGATGCATACCCAGCTCCTGAAAATATGTTTCACATTTTTCACAAATAGACGCGTATTTCTGCCAAGCAAAACTATGTGCATTAAGACACGGAAAAAAAGTGTCAGGGGTTATCCCCAAAATTGTTCTACTACCGACATTTGTTGGATGATATGGGCATTTCCAATTAATTTTGGTAGCACCACAATTCAAGTTGGGGGTAGTACCGCAACATTTGGGTTTGTGACCTAATTTATCGGGATACTATCACAATTAATTGGGATGCTGCCACAATTAATCGGGGTATTACCACAATTAAATGGGAATTTCCATATCATCCAACAGTTGGGACTTACCCCCTACCTCTTTTTTTCCGTGGACGTGAGCCCTGAGACCCATAAGAATATATGCACACTGGAAAAAACACAAATTGCCTTTAAAACATCGACAAGAAAAAGGACTCTTGAATCAATCAGATTTAAGCTTAAATCAAAAGGAAATCCGCTCAAATTAAGAGGCTTGGTTCTTGATTTAAGGTACATTCTGATTGAATCAAGAGTATTTTTTCTTATCGATGTTCTTAAGAGTCTGGGCTCTAGATCCAACGTGTTTTTTTTTCCAGTGAATTTATGCACAACAGGGCTCGCGTCATAATGAGCATAGTTCCGTTTGGCAGAGATACATGCAAATGTGTGATATATTTCACGTAAATTTTCAATGTATCGTATTTTTCATTTGACGTTTGCAACCCTGGTTACTGTCAGTACTTGAACATGTGTAGGTTGGAGTGCCAGGGGGCCTTGCGGAAGGGGGTGTCGCAGCAGAATCCGTCGACGCAGTGCCAGTTGTCGACGCTGAGCGTCCTCTGTCGTCTTGGGAAGGCGCGCGCGTGCGGCCATGGGTCGTCGTCGACGAGACTGTACTCGCCCTCCGGTTGGCCGCAGGATCCCGGCTCCAGGTACATCCAGCTCCGCGTCCGTCCCACCATCCCTCGGCGCCGAGTCCCGGGGTCCGTCCGGGATCCCGTCAACCGCCCTCCGAAGCTCTTTCGTCCTTTCGCGCCTCTCCCTCTTACCCTGAGCAACAAACAGGAGAGTCATTACTACTTAACCGCCAAGAAGTCTCGCTCACACCATCCAAGTGAGCTATCAATTAGGAGGCTGATTGTTTAAATTTATAGATAAAGCCATAGACAAAGATGACAAAAAGGATACGGAGGGATCCTACACGGAGAAAAAAACCTCGTGCGCGGGACCCGAAGTTTAGGTCATATGGATCTCTGCAGTTTTCAGATTGAGCATCTGAACACTTTAGATCTAGCTATCGAGGTTCGGATCACACATCTGAAACTTCAGTACTTACATCTGAAATAAGTACTTCAGATGTGAGAACCGAACTTTTTCGGATGTGAAAACCGAAGTACTTCAGATGTAAGAACAGAAGTTTCAGATGTGTGATCCGAACCTCGACAGCTGGACCTAAAGTGTTCAGATGCTCAATCTGAAAACTTCAAAGATCCATATGACCTAAACTTCGGGTCCCACGCATGAGGCTTTTTTCTCCGTGTATTAGTGGAAGCAGGTGGTTGCAATAGATGGAGGAGACATGTAATAGACTACCTAACGGCAATACACGAGGAGCCCTAGTCAGTCCATCATTTACCCTCTTGGTCTATAAGAACCACTCGTTTTAACCAATAGGATCTTTCCATATCCTTTTTGTCTTTTTTGTCTATAGATTTGTCTATCAATTTCAATAATCGGCCGACTGGTGAGGTCAGGATTCTGATTGGTTCGGAGAATACCAATAAAAGATGTCTATGGCATCGAATTACTGCGTGACGCAGTAAGTTGACATCAATGATCTCTGACTGGCGCGCCAAAAGCTCGCTAGTTAATTTCTTTTCTTCTAAATATAGCTTCAGTTTAATCGTGTGAAGCAGGTTCAAAATTATTCATCTTTTCTCGAACGAAAGAACGTAACTTCATTTCAACATTGCAAAATTTTTACTTGCAAATGGTGTTGTTATGATAAGACTATTGGAATTTTCTGATTACAAATGTCACTGATTTTTCTTCCGATTACACGCAAGAATCAATAAAGTTTTGGCTATGAATTACGTATGTATATTCACGTAAAAAATTAGATTATTAGAGTCAATTTCGCAATATTGGAATAAAGTTACATTTTCCGGATTGGAAAACGATAAGTTGAGGTTCTACGCAGGATTCATGACAGCTTTATAAAGCTGAAGTCAAGAATTTTTCAAAGAGTTTTAAATACTCTCAAAAATCCTTCAACCTGACGGATCCTCTTACTTTCTTTCAATTCTATACTGTGCACGTATTGCAATTGGACGAATATCTATCAAACGGAACTAAGCGCCAATTTGAGTTCCTTTTGAGGAATTTAGAATGCCGGATAGCGCGTTCTGTCAAACGGACCTAAGCGCCATGGAAAAGCATTGCGAGTATAGGACGGAATAAGCCGGACGCCCGATTCCGCCGCCAATCCAAGCCCCCCTCTACCTTCCTCACCCTATGGCGCTTAGGTCCGTTTTATAGAAATACGTCCAATTAGAGGCTCATCAAATAGAAATTTTCGATGTCTCGGTGAATCCTTGGGACTTTGGGGGTTGTGGAATTTTGAAGAGTGGTTAGTACCTGGGCGTCAGGCGAGGCCAGGGTCAATTGTGCGGGTCGAGCCTGGTGCTTCTGTAGGCCCTCTGCCAGACCTCGAGGAGGAGGACACCCGAGTGGAAGCGGTAGAAGACGAGGAGGGGCAGCGAGATCCGCGAGACGACGCCCCAGGCCAGGAGCCCCATGAAGCGCAGCTGCAGCTCCTGCGTTAGCCAGCTCTGCGTTATGAACGAGTCGAACGCCCACAGCGCCGCGTTGCTGAACAACAGGAACGTTATCACCTGAAAAAATAGGCATGACATCTTGATGAAGGGGATGGTGTAAGATGTAGGGGATAGTGTAAGATGAATGGGATATCATTAGAGATGGAAAATTTCACGAAATCTATTCGCGAGAAATTTCACTAGATTTTATGAAATTTGTGAAACTTTTGGGGATGCATTCAGCGGGCTGATTATTGAAATTGATAGACAAAAAGATAGACAAAAAGATAGACAAATGCCGCAATTACACGCTGAATGTGGGAGCTGAATTTGGCTTGAATGTGGAAGTCGTCAGCGCGATGCCTGAATTTTGCGCGTTACGCGCAAAATTCAGCAACGATTTTCAGCGACCATCGATAATATCGGATTTGTCTGAACTATTTGAGTAGATACGATACACATTTGCATGAAAATAACTCGAATTAGTGAAATTTCAGCTATTGAGCGCTGACTGTTGACTGCCAACATTCAGGTGCCAAATTCAGCGTGTGATTGCGGCAAAAGGAAACAGAGAGGATGGAGAGATTCTATTGGTTGAAATTCGTGGTTCCTACAGACTAAGGGAGAAAATGATGGACTAACTATAGATTCTCTCGTGGATTGCCGTTAGTTAGTCTATTACCATTAGTCCTGTACATTGTAACCACCTACTTCCAACAATAGGATCCTTCCATATCCCTCTTGTCTTCTTTGTCTACAGCTTTTGTCTATAAATTTCAATAATCAGCCTACAGGAGGCCATGAAACGCCTCAAAACAATGATTCTTGATCTTGACATTTAGAAATTCAAGCCTACACATTTCATTAAATGGTCATCTTATCATTATAATGGTTTTCGCATTGAATGCTATACAATTTATTATCATCTCAAACATAATATCATAACAAATCAAGCTTTGATGCCTGTTTACACAAAAATTTTCGCCAAAGTTGCGCATGTAAATTACACAGCCTTAACCTTCGTTGCGACTTTGCTCCTTGCAAAACTTCCTTTCATTCATAAAAAAGTGTTCATGATAGAACCTAAAGCCCAATTCATACTATCAAACTTTTCATTCGACTCTTAAATGCAACTTGTCGAATGAAAAGTTTGAACGTGTGAGCTGCACCCGGTTTCAGGACATTTTGTCAGTGATTTTTTTGTCCGCGCACCTTTATTGTCCAGTAGTTTACGCCTACACGTAAAGTAAGCAATGGTGACTTGATCCTAGCGTTATATTTTATTCGGTATGTAAAATTATATTAATAATATGGAAATGAGAAATTGAGAGAGAAGGAGGTGTTGTTATGGTTGCTCATTTTCTAAATGAAATGTTATTACTTTCTCCTTTTGAATCATCTTTTTAAATTGTCATTGGTGAATATTTGGTCTTATTTCTATCCTTAAAATATTCGATGTACAATGTACATTATATGTGTACAGGTACTTTTTTTATTTTTTCTTTACGAAATTATTACTTCATTTTGAAAACATTTATATTTTAAAAACGTGACAAATATTTGCACAACCTCTCCCAAGCGACATTAATCTCAATGAGCCGCATGTTGTCCGACAGAAACTGCAAAAATGAATAAAAGAGGTAAAAAAAACCAAGAAGCACGCAATCTTTAGTTTTAACCCATTTGTACATCAATCTTTTAGAGTCAAATACGTCACATTTTGAGCGTTTGGCTGCGCGTACACCTCGCTGCAGCACAATAAAAGCACGAAATGTAAAAGAAAAAATTAAAGTGCTTTGGAAATCATTACATTTTACACGGAACCACCAATATTTAATAAAAACAAACATTATATTATTATTCTCCTTTGATAAATTGATACATATTTTTTTCCCATCAATTTAAATGAGAATAATCAATGCAGAGTGTGCTAACATTTCAAAATCATGAGTTAAGAAACGCTGACTATGCGAGTACAAAGTCTAACAGAGCGGAGCGGCGTGCTGCCAGCGCGAGAGGCTCACTGGCGCCTACAAACCTAAGTGGATACTTCACGCATTGCGCAATGCTGGAAGTATCCACTTAGGTTTGTAGGCGCCAATGCGCGTTTTGCGCTGGCCGCCCGCCCGCCGTGCGGCGCGCGGCGGTGCCTGAAGAAAACTATTTCTCAACAGAGGTGTTGCACAGTATTATACGAAATGAACGTATTAGGAATGGCACGCATCCTTTAAAAGTACAGATCTTTCCTCGCAAAATAAATCAAGATACTTATCGTACACTGGAAAAATCTAAGAGCCTTTAGCTGAGGAAAATAAAGAGGTTTATCCGGTTCAGGTATAACAAGGTGGGAAAATCTTGAAAGATAATTAAGTCCTGTTACACCAAAAAGGTAACTTATATGTAACTATATATTATTCTCCGTTGGACTAAACAGACAAAACAAAAAAACAAGCAAACCCTCATTCTTCCAAGGCATTTTAAATTTTCATCCGAAAACATCGTGAGCAATTGTCGTTTGTATTTACACGTGGACCAATTAACTTTGGGTCTTAACTGGCACGTGGACCAAAACTCCCATGGCGAAAAAAACGCGTGGCCGTAAATTGCTGGAAAAAACAGTTGCGCGGACAAAAAATCGTTGACTAAATGTTCTATAACCCTGCACCCTTATTGTTGAAATTGATAGACAATGCTATGGACAAAGAAGACATAAAGAGTATGAAGAGATCCTTTTGGCTGAAATAAGTGGTTCTCATAGACTAAGGGGGTAAATGATGGACTAACTATAGAGTCTCTCGAGGGGTGGCCGTTAGTTAGTCTATTACTTACCTCCTTTGTCCAGTTCAACTACCCGCTTCCGATAGGATCCCTCCAAATCCCTTTGGTCTTCTTTGTCTATAGCTTTGTCTATCAATTGAGTAATCATCCTGCTGGGCATAAAAATTAGAGCTGTGGGCCAAACTGGCTTCTAAACTTGAAGATGATGTGCTGGTTACACGCTCAAATTTCCGTCAATTTCCGATCAAATGGTGACTGGTGCGCACCATCTACCATCAAATTTCTGCGGCCTGCAAAAATTCGATGGTAGACGATGGAGCTGTGGGGCTCATCCTTCATCTGATTTCCACCCAACTGTGCTTATTTCATGCTTATTTCAATCAACACACTGTTTCAATTGGACGTATTTCTGTCAAACGGAACTATGTGCATTATGACGTGAACCCTGTTATACATACATTCTTATGGGTCTCAGGGCTCATGTATTAATGCACATAGTTCCGTTTGGCAGAAACACATCCAATTAATTTTACTCATCAATCTAGATAACTCTCGACGGCCATCTTGGTCATCATTTTGATCGGGATTTGACGGAAATTTGAGCGTGTAACCAGGCCATGAAGTTGAAACCTACTTGAAGGATGGAAGGGTGAGTTTACCTGTCGTCCGGGCTTGGTGAGTAGCTGGTGCCTGGTGATGGAGCCCCGCCGGAGGGCCTCTCCGATGAGGGTGGACTGGGCGCCGGCCTGGATGAGCTGGAGGAGGCTCACGGCGAGGAGCATGGCGTGGGTGCGCTGGTCGACGCTGTGCACCGGCGCCGCCGCGAACCCGCTCGCACCCACGACGAGCCCGAATATCGAGTACAACTGCACGCCGGCGACTGTGATCGCCGACAGGAGGTTGTCCAGCGCAGAGGGCGTTTTACCTGCAAAGAAAAATATCTTCAATGAAGCTCCGGCCAAGTTTGCCAGTATACAATTTGAAGTACCACGGCTGCGCACGTTGAATTGCTGGGTGCAGAAACAACCAACGTCCAAGAGGTAGTTGGGTGAAAAAAAAATGTAAAAAAAAATTCACGGAAGCGGTAAGTTGCGCTGGTCCAAAGACATAAAGACGGAGCACTAAAAGCAAAAAATGAAGCTTCTAGAGCTTCTTTTCAATCACCTCTACTATTGGCTAGAGGATTGGCGGCGAAATCGGGACAAGTTTGAATTCAAATGTAGGGCGGGAACTAATAAATAAAATTGCGGAAACAAAGTATTTTAGGTTGATTCTTGCCCAAATTCAGGTACACACTCATATTTTTTAACTTTAGGTTAGTTTCAGTCCGTCGTCGACCGATTCATTTCATTTGGGAGTAACGTTGATCTAGAACTGTAACGGCCTGTTTGAACCTGCAGAACCACCATGAGCAGAAGAAAAACTAACTTTATCTGAGATTACTGCCTGTTACCGAGCAAAAGTAGGTGTATTTTATTAGGACGCAGACCGAACTTTCTTAGTATATTCGTTTTAGAAATTTAAAATACGTTTCGAAGAAGAAATGTGCAAAAATCAAGAGGACAAGTTCAAATCAAATTTCCGTTTGCCGCCATGGATTCCCGCGCTCATTTACACACTCACACAAGCGCGCAGCGCCGAACCAGGCTTCACTTTTTCCCCGTGCTTTTAGATACGAGCGCTCCGTCTTTATGTCTTTGCGCTGGTCACAGAATCGTGTTCTGGTGTTGGATTCTTGTAGATTAGATCAAAATAATAAGATCTGTCCAAACAGCAACTCTCTACATTGAATATTCTCCGAGATAATCGCGCTTTGAAAAATTCGGCTCATGACGTCATCCACCACGGTAGCGACAACCTTGGTTTCATCCACCTTCATTTCATCTGAGTTTTATATCGAGTAACAAGTGCAAATGTGTGTCTTGCTGACTGATGAAATTAAGACGGGAGAAGCCAAGGGTGTCACTGCCGCGGTGGATGACGTCATAAACCGACTTTTTCAAAGCTCGATTTGTCCGTTAATACTGAACGTGGGAAGTTGCTGTTTGGACGGATCTTATTCTTTCTAGCTGCGCAACAAGGATTAAGCATCAAAACACGACTCCATGACCAGCATAACTGAACCATCTAAATGCTTATGGCTACTTACATTGAATTGTTCAGTGCGGAAACAACCAAAATCTGAGAAGTAAATAAGTGAATAAAAACGAAAGTAATTGACTGAATTCGGAAGTTTTAATAATTTGAAAAATCACTAGCAAGGAACTTGTTTGTTTTCAAATTGGGCGTATACCTACCAAACAGAACGATGTGCTGGTGAGAAAGATGGAGTGTGCTCGTGGCGAGGTGAATAAGAAACAATACATATGGTCAGTGAGTGTGATTCCATTTGGTGAAATGAAAAAGCTGAATTTTAAATTCGGAAAACATAACTATGTGCCGACTGAACGCGCGACTCATGAGCCGTGGGCATGCGACAAGAGCATCGTGGACAGGGCTCATGAGTTAAAACGGAGGAAGAGCTACAACAGAGATGGCTTCGTTGCCGCTGACATCACTGGCGCTTTATAATTCCCATGTATTCTTACCGCCCGAGAACTAACGAGCACACCCAATCTTTCCCACCCGCACATAGTTCTGTTTGGTAGGAATACATCCAATTGCGTGTTGCTAAGCCATCTTCAAGGGACTAAAGATCATTTGATGAAGATAATACTAATTTATACATTTTAACTAACTTTTGCCATGAGGATAAACTACTATTTCGAACTAATCCGTAAAAACTGCACCTATTTGTAGGAAGAAACCAAACTGAGTGAGTTACACCTGGACTGATAAAGAATTTGCAGGTGTTTTAAATTTAATAAATTTCGTGTTTAAGTGGAAACTACTATACTGAGTGAACTGAACGCTAAGATACACTTTGGTTCATGAATTGTACAATTAATGGAGAATATATGACACAATTATCTAATCGTGTGTTTAAATGGGAAATACCGCCAGATAATGTCACTAGGCGGTGCATTTTCTCACTTTTGAACCTATTTTTCCACTATTTCCCATATCAGAAAAAAATTATAAAAAATACTGTGAAATCATCTCTTTAAGTACTTTCAGATGAAGGGATACAAGATTTGCATGCAAATCTTCGATGGAAAATTTGGATGGATGTTGTTTTTGCGGGTGAAAGTGAGCTCATGAATTTTCAAAGTATCCGCTTTATCAGTATATTTTATTTTATTTTGATCAGTTTTGAATGAGCCAAAGCGCTACATACCTGTATGCGAAAGCTTGCGGACCTGGATAAGTCCAAGAACGGTCATGACAGAACTGATACTGAGTATCCCTGCGAGGGTGCCGCTCGTTAGCCAGAATAGGGTCTCCGCGGGGAAATCAACGTCCTCCTTGACAACGAGGAAGATGATGATGATGACGATGACGGTGACCAAACACAGGAGCCCGAGGAAAAGACCCTTGGAGGCCCCGCCGCAGTCGACGTTCTCGTCGCCGAGTCGGGAGTCCACGCCGTGCGACAGGCAGGACTTCCCGTTGCTCAGGCCGCCGTTCCCGTTCGACGAGTTGATCAGGTTCTTCTTCAGGTTCCCCGAGGAGGAACTCGACGGCTTCAGGTGCCGCATCCGGTCCTTCCCCACGTTCTGCCCCATGATGTACGTCACGCCGGCTGCGATCAGGCTGGAATCAGACGCGGGGTTTAGAAGCGCCTTGCGGGATCGGGATAGGCAAATTTATACACTTCCGAGTTGGAATTGGACGTATTTATGCTAAAAGGAGATATGTGCAAGTGGAAAGATGGGGTGTGCTCGTTAGTTGGGTCATAAGAAACAATGTAAAAGTAGATATAGCTCCTTTTGAGAAAATTGAAAAGCGGGATTTGACATTAAATCAAAAGGAGCTAAGCGCCAAAATATGCTAACTCATGAGCCGCGGGCATGGCAAGAGAGCGTTGTGGACAGGGCTCATGAGTTAAAGACGCCGGACGGCGATCCCGATCCCGAAACCGTCACCGCACTCACCGCTGACGTCACTGGCGCTTTATATTCCCCATTCATTCTTATGGCCCGACCACTAAAGAGCACACCCCATCTTTCCACTTCCACATATCTCCTTTTCGCATAAATACGTCCAATTGTTGTATCGTTTCTGATTGAAGGAGTTCTAGTGCATGAGCATGTTAAACCACAAATCCATGGTGAAACTGCAGAAATGCGTATCTCGCTTTGCGGCGTTGCATCCTTCCTGTCATATTTTATTTTCTACATGGAAAACTATTGAACGTCATTTATGAAACATTTTAGTGATTTTTCTTCGCTTTATGAAGAATATTCTAAGAAAACTTCAAACCATAATATTGGTTCGGTCTCTTTCTAAAAAATAAAATAGGAGCGGAGATTTCGAAACACCGCAAGCGAGATATACGCATTTTTGTAATTTCACCATCTAAATGCTGTAACCTTAGGTATAAAATTGACGGAATTAATTGTTTTGTTTGACTCGGCCGTACACAACCGTGCAAAATTGTTATGGGTTATCTGATAAGTTGAAAAATTGCCTGGAAGAACACGTATTTTTTTTACGCACACCCAATTCGTGCATTTTTAATGGTCTTCTTTCACTTTTTTTGACTGAGATTAATGAATATTATTATTTGATTGACTTACTTACTTTCAGTTTCGCCCGATGAAAGTAAGTAAGAAAGTAGAAGGTACTAGTTACCTAGGAGGAGGGAGAGAGGGAGGAGGGGTAGGAGGTAGTAGTTACTTTCTGAGTAGTAGAAAGTAAGTAAGTCAATCACGTAGTTCCCGATAAAGAAAACAAAGGATTAGTGAATATTATTATTTTAAGGATTTTTAACATTCTCATACCTGAATTGAACAATAAACGGATACAGGAAAGGCATTGATGAGGTCCAAAGTTGACCGAGGGAATTCGTGTTTAGGCACTGGTGAAGGGCTACAACTTGAGAGATGTGGTTGTCAGAGACAGGTCGGTAAATCGCCACGTTGCTCCAACTACCGTTGTAAGCGGCTGTATAAACAAAACATAGAATGAGGTGATTATTATAAAAAAGGGTCTGAACATGAGAGAGAATTTTTATTATTTAGATCAGATAATTTTACTTCGAAGGATGCAATTTCACAAGTGGACGTATTTCTATCAAACAGATTTATATGCAGGTGAGAAATATGGGGTGCGCTCGTTAGTCCTCTGGCCGTAAGAGTGAATGTGAATAATAAAGCGCCAGTGACGTCAACGGAGATGGATGTCATCGTGCAGTTCGCCTCGTTGATCATTAACTGATGAGCCCTGTCCACAACGCTCTCGTGCCATGCCCGCGGCTCATATATCCCGCATTCAGTCGGCACCGTAGAGAAAAAAAGGAGGTGTTTGCATTTCGGGCATCTTGGAATTTTTTGATGACTTGATGACGTAGGTGGGTACAGGCGACGTTTTTATCCTGTCGATTTTCTTAGAAATGGTGTAATTTCAGGAAAAAATTCATTCTATAAAAAGTGCTTGAAATTATATAATGAGTTGATTTAAGTAAAAAAATCGGACATTATGGTCCGTTTTTCATATTTAGCTAAACGTCGCTGTACCCACCTACGTCATCAAGTCATAAAAAAATTCCAAGATGCCCGGAATACAAACACCTCCTTTTTTTCTCTATGAGTCGGCACATAGTTCTCTTTGCTGAATTTAAAACCCCGCTTTTCCAATTCTTCAAAAGGAATCACGCCCACAGACCACATTGTTTCTTATGCAACTCTCTAGAACACACCCCATATCTCTCGCCTGCACATAGTTCTGTTTGATACACCGAAAAAAATAGATGGTGCTGACGACAGAACCTTCTGTTCACAGGGCTCCTGCAGTTTCTTCGTTATACTTACAGAATTTTTCTGTTGTGAGAACAGAACTTTGGTCGTGGGAACAGAGTACTCTGTCCTCATAACGGAATCTTCTGTGACTGTTACAAAAGAAGTGCAGGAGCCCTGTGAACAGAACTATTTTTTGGGGAATAATAAAGCACACGCAAAAAAAAAGAGGTTAGCACGCAATTTTTTTTTTTTTTACAAAAATCGTCTGAATGCACGCAAAATGTATTGAACTGCGCGGTATTTTTTGCACGACATTTTAATTTGATACCACAGAATTCTGCTGCAAGTTTTTCGCGTAGGTATTTTTTTTTCTGTTCACAACTTTGATTTTTCGTGCAACATTTTTTCCATTGCGTGAATTCTTTTTTAGTTGCGTGAATTCTTTTTTAGTTGCGTGAATTATTACAATTACTGTGACATTCATTTTCGATTTCGTGATGAACATACTTTTTCCGTGAATTTACCCTTTTTTTGGCGTGCCGATAAATGCAACCCCTTTTTTTTCAGTGTAGAAATACGTCCAAATGATGTCCAAAATATCAATTAAATTCTACAGGTTATTAATGATCCTAAAAATGGACACTTACCATATCCAACGTCCCTGATGTGCCGCTGAAGGCTCATGGACTTGGGGAAGCCCCTGAGTTGGAGCGGAGTCGGGATCCCGGTTTCGAACGGGGACGAAGCGCGATCTCGCGGCTGGAGTCCGCCCTCAGTCTGAGCGAGATACACGAAATACGTCCATTCGATTCCACTCTCCCAGATCACCAACCTCACCCACAGAGCTAAGTTCGTCGCCGCCAGATGCATGAAACCGAACCGCGCGATCAGACCAAACTTCTCCACCAACACCTGGAAACATCACAAAATCCAAACTCTCAAACGGTACTCTCATGAAATCAAACTCTACAATGGAGATGTTGCATGTGTGAGGAATTTGCGATTTGACTATGCATTCTCATGTAAAAGTTTGCGAGAAACACGATGGTGCCACTGGTTTTCTCTGAAATCAACTCCCAAGCTCAAAAACAGCTCTCAAGTTGAGGCCAAAATGGAGGGAATTTCTAACGACAATTTCTCTGTAAAAAATTAAAATGGCGGCGTAAATTTTTAAACGTCGCATGGCGCTTGTGATACTTTGGCCGGAAGGTGGTGACATGTTAGCGCCTACAAGACTGTAGGAATACTTCATGCATTACGCCAAACACAGTGCGGCCGGCAGGAAACTTATTGGCGCCTATAAGACCGTTGGAATACTTCACGCATTGCGCCTGCAGCACGGTGCGCGACTGCGCGTTTTAGTTGTTGAATATTTTCTCGAGTTAATGGAGATGTTGCAGGTGTGAGGAATTTGCGATTTGACTGTTTACTCTTATGTAAAATATCGCGAGAAGCACGATGGTGCCACTGGTTTTCTCTGAGATCAACTCCCAAGCTTAAACAAAGCTTTCAAGTTGAAGCCAAAATGGAGCTGCCACAGGTTGACAGGTTGACAGGAGCTGGTTGACAGGGCTGCCACTTTATTTGGGGACTCTAAAACTGAAAACACGGCAACCCTGCAAATATATTTGCTCCCTATATTTGCATGGAGAGTTTGTCTTGATGTAGAGGTGGACTCTCAGGGTAGGGTGGGATATCCCCTCCATTTTGGCCTCAACTTGAGAGCTTTTTTTGAGCTTGGGAGTTGATTTCCGAGAAAACCAGTGTCACCATCGTGTTTCTCGCAAACTTTTACATATGAATCAACAGTCAAATCGCAAATTCCTCACACATGCAACATCTCCATTGTCAGTGAATTGAGCCACGTTCAGCAGAGAGGCTCATTCTACGAAAGGAATTTTGAAAATCATCAAATTTCCTGAATATTGTTGACGGTTATGGACTGAAACTTATGACATACTTAAGACTTATCATAATTGGTCCGCGTTAAGTAGAAAGGAACCAAGCCACATTAGTTATTGCCAAATTTGATCGGGCATTTTAATGTTTTACATGAAGACGATTGAGCGGATTTTTGGAAAAATTTCGGTCAATTCTTTGCTCAGCTTAGAGCGAAATCCTTCAAATTTTCAATAAAATCCGCACAAATGTTCTCATGTTAAAAATTATTCGCCGAGTTAAATTTGGCAATAGCTGCTGTGGCTTGGTCCTTTTCTGTTAACCGCGGTCCAAATTCAACTTCACAGTTGCCTGGGAATTGAACTACGTTCAGCAGAGCGGCTCATTCTACAAAACGAATTTTGAAAATTATCGCATTTTCTGAATTTTGATGTCGGTTACGGACTGAAACTTACGACCAACATAAAACTTTTTCAACGATGAAAACACCTATTGCGTTAAAATATATCAAGTCCACGCTTAAACAAGGGGGATTTCATGGGGTCTTGATTCTATCAGAATGAAAATTTTGGTATCCCTTGAGCCCTCAAAATTCCCCTTCGGCCTGTTATTATAGTTTCATTGCTTTTCTCGTTAAATTTTCTGCAGGATGTGCCCTTTAGAATTTAAAGCGTGACGAAATAAACATTTCAACTTTCAATAGTTGTCAAAAATGCCGTGTCCGACTTCTCAAAAGACTGTGTCCCATTAAAAATAAATTCACTGTGTATGCAATTGCACCATTACATGGACAATATCTCAGAGCCTCATTACGGAGGAACCTTTTGATATTCCTGGCAGCTCATTACTTTACGTAAAAGGCAAATCTGAAGCCTTGAAGCATACCTGCGAGTTGACGAAGAGGAAATGCATCTGAAGGAAGGTGAAAAGACCGTGGAGGATAGGGTGGACAAAGACGACGTCGTTGAGGCATGATCCCTCCATCATTGAATGCATGGCCATTTCAAGCCCGTTGAACACCAACGTGCCCAAACCGAAAGCTGGAAAAATGAATCACATGGTAACTTTCATCCTCTTCTGGGTCACCAGAAACCTTCGAAAAAATAACCCATCGATATGTAAAAGGTTTCTTTCCATTTTAGCAGTGAAACACACGGCATCTTCTTCCTGTTCTATACTGCCGTGCTAAGGAAGAACGCCGGTTGAGCCTTCAGGTGTTGCCAAATTTCCGTCGAGAAATCACTTATTTCCAGGAAACGTTATAAATAATTTTCTTCCGATTTTTCAGAGAATTTGGCTCATAATTTGGTCTAAAGTGTCTGAAAATTTCAATGAAAAATATTCATAAGTTCCTTCGAAAATAACGCCAATTAGACCGCGTTAAGCAGAAATGAACCAAGCCACATCCGCTATCGCCAAATTTGACGGGGCAGCTTAAATTTTTACAAGAAAATGGTTATGACGATTTCATTGAAAATGTTAAGGAATTTGCTCCGTGCCATGCAGAAAATTCAACGAAATTTGCACAAAAATCCGCACAACCGTTTTCATGTAAATAAGTAAATTGCCGTATTGAATTTGGCAATTGCTTATGTGGCTTGGTTCCTTCTACCAAACGCGGTCCAATTATGCCTTAATTTTGTGAACCGGGCGAAAAATAGCACGGGTTAAAAATAAAGATACCAATTTTTATAGAGCAGCCCGAGACACCGTGGTAAAAATTGGCAGTAGAATCTGTGTTCCAAAATACCATAGACCTACAGCCGGCTGTAAGATTTCAAATAGCTTCTATAGCCGGCTACACAATTTCTTACAGCCTTTTATAGCCGATGGCGATTAAGCAACAGCCAGGCGATAAAGTGTATGATAAACGTCACTAATTACGGATGCTAGGACTTAGTGAGTTTTTGGACTACTGCTCTCTTTTTGGGCCGTAGTATCTTGATTTACTTTGCGAGGAAAGCTCCGTACTTTTCATGGATGCCTGATATTCCTAATATATTAGAGCGCCTTCCGTTTCGTATGATACTGTGCAATACCTCTGGTGTGAAATAGTTGCCTCAAGCGCCGTGGCACGCTGCGGCGCGGCAGGCGAGCAGCCAGCGCAAAACGCGCATTGGCGCCTACAAACCTAACAGGGATACTTCACGCGTTGCGCAATGCGTGAAGTATCCCTGTTAGGTTTGAAGGCGCAAGTGCGTCGCCGCTCCGCTTTGTGTTACGCTCTAATATTTAATCTGGCGGAGTCAGCGTTATTCAACTCATGATTTTAAAAATTTTTGCACATCCTGTATGGATTATTCTCATTTTAATTGATGAAAAAAAAATATGTATTAAAGGAAAATATAATGTGTGTTTTGTAAATATTAAGGTGGTTCCGTACCAAACTTAATGATTCCCAAAGCACACGAATTTCTACACAATTTCTTATAGCCTTTTATAATCGATGGCGAAAAAGCAACAGCCAGGTGATAAAGTGTAAAGCCCGGCGATAGGAAGTTTAACCCGGCTGCATAATTTTTTATCGCTTCGTATAGCCCGGCCGTATGATTTTCTCCGCATTCTACAGCCAGCTTTATGATTTGCTGTAACCTTCTTCAGCCGGCTATAAGAATTCCTATGGTATTTTGAAACGCGGCTTTTATCGCCAATTTTTACCAAGGCAATGGTAACAGTAGAAAAACAAGGGGGGGCGGGAAACGAGGCTAAAATACACAATTAAAAACCGAGACGTTTCGACTCAAAACTGAGTCATTTTCAGTCGAAAATGTTATAGTAAACATTTAAAAAAACGATGAAAAACCTGAGCCCTACATGTTGGTGGCCGGGATATAGGGCTCAGGTTTTTCATCGTTTCTTTAAATTTTGTATTGTAACATTTCCGACAGAAAACAGAGATGGATCCAGCAATTTGGCGTCACTAGAGTCCCTCCATTTAAACCATGCTAAATAATCGACTCTCGTCAGAGCACCTAGCCCGTCCAAGAATCGATACATTACCATAGGTTTAAATGGAGCAAAGACAATGTTGCCAATTTGCTGGATCCGCCGATGACTGAAAATGACTTTGAGTTTTGAGTCGAAACGCCTCGGTTTTTAATTGTGTATTTAAGCTTTGTCTCTAGTTTTTCCCCCTTGTTTTTCTCCTGTTGAAAATAAACTGGATTGCATTTTGCAAAAAGGAACCACTAGCATTGCAATGTTGCTAAGATTGTGGAACTTCTTTTGTCTTGGGGGAGAAACCCGATTATCCCTTAATAGTTTCTATTTTACTCGCTAAAAACTGTAAATTTAAGACAAAAATTACCATCTAAATTTCATAGTTTTTCACAATGTCCGCAATTTTATTGCAAAGGATGAAGTTGCACAATCTTAGCATCATTGCAATGCTAGTGGTTCCTTTTTGCAAAATGCAATCCGACTGATGGAGTAATGATTCAAAATGAACTCAATATAGATGAAAATGGACATGTTTTTTACCTAGAGCGCCGACCCTGAGGTAGAAACTAGTGCCGGAGGTCTTGGCTCTGGAGATGTGGGCGCGCTTAAGGGAGCCGAACCTGGAGACCGGGAGGGATCCCATCTCCGCGTCGGCCATGATGGTCGTCGTCATGGAGGCCGGCGAGTCGTGGAGACTCGCGCAGCTGTCGATCAAGACCCAAACATAGATGCAAATGATCACTGCTATACTCCCCACGTAGAGGTACATCAGGTAGATCCCCTGCAAACCCACAAAAGGCAATGTGAAACAAAATTTGAAAAAATAGCGGAGGAAATTTTTAACGCATTTAGTAGATTTGTCAGCAACACCATTGTTCATAATTGATTTTTGGATTCAGCCCAGGTGTTGGATTTGGATCATCGATAAAATACTCCTTATTAGTACGTGAAATGGAGACTTTGTAGGTGTCTGAAATTAGATGAATTCCGTGTTAAAGCGGACGCTATCAAGTGACCTGAACACGAGAATACCCTTAGTTCATGAATTGAACAATTATTGGAGGAGACAAATAACCTAATCTGCTAAAATACGTGTGCTTAAATGGGAAATGCCGCCAGATGACGTCACTAGGCGGTGCATTTTCTCACTTTTAAATATACTTTTATATTATTTCTCATTGCAGAAAAAAATTATAAAAAATATCGCAAAATCAGCTCTTCAAGCACCTTCAGATGAAGCAATAAAAAATTTGCGTAAAAATTCTCCATTGTTTATTGTATTCACCTTGTACATTTCAACACATAGTGTCATCACCAGAGGTATTCAATTACTTGGACATTTGAAATCGTAAAATTATTATCGCATGTACACAACACTCATAGCATTTGGTTGTCGTTACAGCTTATCGCTTATAAACAAATTAAACGTTGGCGTCACCCTCACCATCGCGCGCTGCTCGACGGCGGATCTTTTATCTAACTGTGTAATCATTTAATTGCAAGAGTGCAGCACTTGTCTATTATCGAATGACAATATTGTCAATTATTAACAATGCAGTAAGGTGCTAGTAAGGAGTACATTATTAATGATCCAAATCCAACACATTGGCTAAATCCAAAACTCTATCGTTAATTTTCAACGGACATTAGAACAAAATCAAACTTAGGTGATAACAATGTTTGACGTCTCAACTACAGCAAAGCGCAGAACGTTGCGAATTTTCGCCCCACACCATCGCTCCTTCAATTTTGCAGATGCAATACGGACATCCATCAGGTACGAATAGTTGGACGTAGTTCTACCAAACAGACCTATGTGCAAGTGAGAAATATGGGGTGTGCTCGTTGAAGCTGCATAAGAAGCAATGTGGTCAGTGGGCGTGGTTCCTTTTGAAGAATTGGAAAAGCGGGATATTGCATTCTATCAAAGAGACCTATGTGCAACTGAATGCGGAACTCATGAGCCGCGGGCATGGCAAGAGAGCCTTGTGGACAGGGCTCATGAGTTAAGGGCTCACTCTAACGATCTCCCCCTCGCTCGAGTGCGCACTATCATTGCCGCTGACGTCACTGGCGCACAATTATTCCCATTCACTCTCACGCAAAGAGAACTAACGAGCACACCCCACATTTCTCACTTGCACATAGGTCTGTTTGGTAGAAATACGTCCAGTTGTATCTCTGAGCCGTCATCAACACGTGTCATTTCCCTTCCTCTTTTGCAATATTGTGCTGGTATATTTTGTAGAAGTGCTTTCAGGGCTACATGAGCAACACAATCGAGGATAGAAAAGTCGTAATCCTACTTCGTGTTTTAACTTTCCTCTCAAATCTGAGTGACACCTCACTAGCAACATCCAGCGGAGCATTGCGAGTTCTAGACTCGCGCGATCGCGCCTTCAATTTTGAAGTTATGCAACATGGACATCCATCAAGCACGAATAGTTGTATATCTAAAGGCACGGTCATCAACGCGCGTAAAAGTGTCTCTTATTTTTGAATTTGAAAAAATGTATTCATACTTCCTAGCTGCGCTGCGAGAGACACTTCTTGCACCAAAAATTGAGCAATTGCAATTGATTATAGCTAAGAGAGGAGAGAGGAAAGTTTTATTGACGTGGCGGAGTTTATAAAGTTCAGACAACCAAAAAATCTTCACACCAGCAAGGAAACGTTTGTTGTCAAAACCAAAAGTGTCCTCGGTGTAATTCGTAACTTTCTTAACGTAAATATTGTATTTTGTAATGCTATTTTACAATTTTTAATCGGTAAATTAAAAAATGTCACGGAGTGAAATCAAAGTGCGGGCACTGGCGGATGATAAGAGCGGTTAATACCTGAAGCGTGAGTAGTTTGACGGAGTTGTCCATGACTTCGATGAGACAAAATGCCAACATGAGAATGATGAGCGTTTTTCCATACAGAGAGCTCAAAATTACCCATAGGTAACAACTGTAACATACAAAATAAAAACATTTAGGATAATAACAATAAATAAAATAGCATCTAATACATTTTTACCCCTTCCATAGCCAAAATCTTCACTCAGAAACGGTCATTTTTCATGTTTCACTATCCTCGGATTCTCTTCGCTTCGAATCCCACTTTCTTCCAATATATCGTCGCTTATCTGATGAGAGATGTTAACTAAATTTCAATGTTGCCAAATTTTCCCTCGCAAAGTGCAATTTTCCTCAGAGACTCATAAGCATTCCAAACTGAAAATTTCACTGATTTTTCTTCTGATCCCATGCAAAAGCCACACAAATTTTGAGAACAATTCGCACCAGTACATTCTTTTTAAAAAATTGAATTGTTTAAGTAATTTTTGCAATCTTAGATTGAAGTTACATTCTTTCGCACGGAAAATGACGACATGAAGAATTTTCAACCTAACATCTTACATGTCTTGGAAACCAATCCGGCAGCACATTGCGGATCGAGTCAATTAGAGAGGTCGGAAATGACATTTTAGACTATAACTGCAAATTTTTTTGTTCATTTTGTCACATTTTAAAGTTTAAGGGGTGTTTCTGGGAGAGAAAATTTACGACTGAACCAATGAGACCACTTTTGAACCTCAAAGTTTTGTATAAACGGAGTCATAAGCGTTTAAAGTTTCAAAATTTTGTCCGACCTTTCCTACTGACTCGATCCACTGTGCGCCACTTTTATCCAGAGGGGCTATTTTGTTACTCTGGAGATAATATTCGGCTGTGTTTGTTTCAAGTAGTCGCATTACAACAAGTTCAGCGCAGGAAAAACAGTTTTCCGATCCGAATCGATCCGAAATCATAAGCTCTCCGTGAACTGGACGCAGGAAAAATGGCTGGACCGGTAAGTGGTTCCTTTACCTCCGCCTGCTCATGACAGCTATCATTATTTTCTGTTTCTCCGCGAGCCCTGATATCTAATCCGATTAGACGCTCCCATGCCTGACTTCAGTCTCATTCCAACCGAGGGGCTTATTCTGTCTTTGATTACTCGAAGTGGTTCAGTTTATCGCGGGCATAAGTTCAACTTGCCATCATCTCGCTTACTCAGCAGCGACTACGTCCAAGGAAACCAATTCATTAAGAAGATCCACGATTAACAGACTTCTAAACAGAATGAGAACAGAGATGACAGACTTCTAAACAGAGTCTAAAATCAATGGATTGGTGAAATGACCGAGCTGTGAGGCAATTTTGTGCACGCAAAGTTTAGGACATCAGTAAGTAAGTGAATCGGTCATTCTCAAAAAGACGTAAGTGCCAAAAATGGATCTACGAGAAAAACGATTATCACCATCTTAATGGGCCAGTTGCGCTGGAAACAGAATCGTGTTTTGATGCTTGGTTTTTGTATATCAGCTAAAATTAAGAAGATCTGTCCAAACAGCAACTTTCTACGTTGAATATTATCCGAGATATCGTCCTTTGAAAAGACGGGTTTTTTACGTCAGCCACCGCGGTAGTGCATAACACGGTATGTACTACGGTGGATGACATCATAAATCGAGTTTTTCAAGGCGCGATACCTCGATTAATATACAATGTATAAAGTTGCGGTTTGAACAGATCTGCGAGAATAAAGTATCAAAACTTGAATCTGTGACCAACGCAACTGATCCATTGACCCGTTCTAAATCCCAGACCTCTAAAATATTAAAGCAGTTAGTTAATGTTTTCACGTGTTAATGTTTTAATGTTTTCAATGTGAGTTAATGTTGAGTCATTCTTCATTGATCTGCGATTTAAAATTGGGCGTTTAATGCAGTTTCTACTGTTTTTCTTGTATTTTCATATTCGGCGCTTAAGTCTTTTCGTGAATGACTGATTTGATTGCGTTCGCTTCCGATGACCAACTGTCATACGTTTATCACGGTTGTTCCGCTGGTCAAAATATTGAACTTTATGCTTTAGTCGTAGATGATAAATGCTAATTTCTCACTTACGAGTTGTTTTAATCATGTACATAATCTCAGGCACTTGATATAATTTCCTTAGAGAGAAATTCACTTCAAAAGGATTCTTTCCAGAGGAGGTCACTTTAGACACTAAATCAAATCCTCCATAAAAATCTCAAAATCCAATGTTTTGATCCTATGCTCTAAACAATGCCCCAGTCGCAGGTGCAACTTTCATGAGCTTTCGAAGCTTACCGGAAGTCGCCGTGAACTCAGAATCTCATGCCTCGGGCTAAGGACAACGCGAGGAGCGCGAGGACGGGGGGACAAAACGTATCAGTTGGTGGGAATCAAAGATGCTGGGAGATAGCGCGGCGCGAACAAACAGACTCCTCAACTTTTTAAGTAATTAATTAATTAATCCAGGCGACTCGCTTTTAGTTAGCCTTTCGCCAGCCCGGAATCATGGCCAAGTTCGGTCGTCACCGAAAGCTCGCCAAAGTTCCGTTTCCGGATAGGCGCCTCACAGTGGATCGAGTCAATCAGAGAGGTCAGGCATGGCATTTTTAACTAAAACTGCAAATCTTGATGTTTAATCCGTCGGGTTTTAAATTTTAAGGCGTGTCTCTAAAAGAAAATTTCACGAAGAAACCAATGAAACCACTTTTAAGGCCTCAAAGTTTTGTATGCAGGGAGTTATAAGCTTTTAAAGTTTTCAGATTTTGTTCACCGCTCTTATTGACTTGATCCACTGTGAGGCGTGGGAACAGAGTTATTGCAAAGTTGGCGACTTGGAGGGAGGCTCGCGGGGTTGTGGGTTAACCGGCGGAAAACTTGGTGGTAGTTCCAAACGGGGAGGAAGAGCTTGGCCTACTCAACCCACTGCGAGCTCTCAATCGGACTACATTTTGCAATTAGAAACGACAATTTCTGGCTCAGTTTGGAAACAACGTATGCACCATTAGTTTCCCTATACATATAAGTGTTTTAATGGATACGCAAGAAATTCCCACAGTGCTGACATTTCCTAGAATTAATTGGACTGCATTTTGCAATTTGGAACTATAAATTCTAGCCCGGTTTAAAAACAACGTATGTGCCATTAGTTTCCCTATGCGCATACGTGTTTTTTCAGATGAGCCATAATTTATAGGTCCAAATTGCAAAATGCAGTCCAATTCTGAATTTCAGAACTTTAGTAATTTTCCGGAATCGAATGTCCAGCTATTTTCGAAAATCTTCTTGGAAACCGGGGTTTTTGTCAGTTTGATGGAGAATTTGATCAAATTTGATGATTTTTAGGTCAAATTAAACGATGTTTGAAGCTAATTCTGAGACCAGGCGTATTTCGGAATATTTTCCCGGAACTTTTGAAAAATTAAATTTTTCTCGGAATTTTCAGAAATTGAAGTTAATTCCGGGAGCCCCTTAATATTTGATAAAATAAAATGGAACCACTATTCTTAATTACGAAATAAAATTCATTTTAAGACTTATAAAAAAAAGGAAGAAAAAATACTCTGAGGGCTACACTAGCATTAAATAAGAAAACAGATTAAATTAAATTCGAATTATTTTACGAACCCCATGAGCAAAATGTAGGTTCAGTGATACTCGTATTGCCTATTATCCTTTTTCAACGACTACGTCATAAAGTTCGAGCTAAGCTCTTTTATTTCAACAAATACATATTCGCATTATACCTCCGTCTGCCTCCGTCGTATCGAATCGCTATCGAACGAGTTTGATGGATAACTCCCTATCTTCACCATGATATACATCGATCATGATCATTCGAGATTAATTCAACAATCGACTCGCCGAGCCCTTTAATCCCAAAATAACCGCTCCAAAGCCCTCGAATGGGGAGCATCCATTCCATGCAGCATCCCGGAATGCAGCAACTGAATCGACAAAACGCGATCCGGTATTGGCGCACAGTGGATCGAGTCCATAGGAGAGGTCGGACAAAATGTTGAAACTTTTAACGCTTATAACTCCGTCTATACAAAACTTTGATGTCCTCAAAGTGGTTTCATTGGTTTCCTTGTGAAAATTTCTTCCAAAACCACCTCTTGAAATGTACACTGAGAAAAAAAGTTCGGTAAATCCGAACTAGTTTGGATCATATGGAACCACGATTTTGTTCGGTACACACAACCGAATTATTCGGTCTGTTCAACCGAATTGTTCGGTTTGTGCAACCGAACCATAATAAATTCTTACAGTTTGGTTCAGTGGACCGAAAAGTTCGGCTGAGCAGACCAAATAATTCGGTCGTGTGTACCGAACAAAATCTTGGTTCCATATGAACCAAACTAGTTGGGATTTACCGAAATTTTTTTCTCAGTGTAAAATCTGACGAAATATACACGGAAATTTGCAGAGTTGGTGAGAAAATGAATGTCCGACTTTTCTGATTGACTCGACCCACTGTGCGGCGGGGAAGGGGGAGCGAGGTGGTAGAGAAATATCCGAATTGCATTTTCACCTTATTTCCGATCTGGATCGACCATTAATTGCGCACCCGGCTGATGGGGGTTGCCGAATCGAACGGAATATCACGAATTCCGCGTTGAAAGTCGGGTATTTTGAGGGAGGACTGGCGGCGCCGCAGTTAATCTACTCATTTCCGACGGGAGCGCTGCCGGGGACTTTTCCCCCCGAAATATTTTATCCGCTCGGGCACGCTTCCCCCGGACGATATTATTTCCTCGTCGATTGATTTTCCATTGTCGAGTCGGAAAATTATGATGTGGAAATCGGGCGGGGTTAAGTAATACGGACACATCTCCGTTGCGGGATTTTTTAAAAAGAACGTATCGTTATTCCCGGAACAAACGAACGTAACTCGCGATTCCAAGCTTGTATTAGTGACTCGGAAATTTAAATATTTATGAGAGTATGACGGGAAATGTCTGGAATGTGGAGTGTAGCCGAGTGCTAGAAATAATGTAAAATTTCTTTAAAAAACTTACATTTTATTAACCAGCTTAGACCGAAGCTTTTCGAAGCAAACGCTTCATCGTTAGGGTCACAAAATCGATATCACAAAGTCTAAATTTGTTAATAAAATGTAAGTTTTTTAAAGAAATTTTACATTATTTCTAGCACTCGGCTACACTCCGAATTCCAATATATTCAGTGCTATTACCTTCAGACATTGCATTACAATGTTCGCGAAATTTCTACTTATTCAAAATTTTACAAACTGATTGCGGTGGACGCGCTGGTCGTATGACGGTAAGTTGGAAATTTTTAGCCAACGTGAGTTAAAAATCGGCATGAAGCTGAAAATCTCAATACAGAGGGAAAAAGCTCATATGAGCACACTTTTCCCTCAAAGAAATACGCTGTTTGATGCAATACTAGTAACGGCCACCCAGGAAGGCAATCGCACACTGAAAAAAACTTCTCGGCGTTTTTACTAAGGTCCGTTGGTACCTATACCATCTCACTTTTTCACCAATTATTGGTAATTTTACCGAGACAGACTGGTAAGCTTACCTAAAAACCGGTATTTTTACTGTTTTTTCAGGTAAGAATACCACTATTATTAGTAATCAATTCCCGGTAACTTTGCCATTTTATCTCGGTAATTCTGCCACAGTCGATAAAAAATATTGGCTTTTTTACCAAGGTCCAGTAAAATTACCGAGAAAATTCGAAAATTTTACCGAGATTTCTCGGTAAAATTACCAATTCCATAAATGGTAATTTTACCAAGAAAAAACTGGGATCAAATAGAACCCTGAATTCTTGGTAATTTTACCCTTTTCTTAGTAAATACACCGAGATTTTTCTTTCAGTGTATGACGGTAAGTCGGAATTTTTTAGCCAAAAATCAGCAATCTGAAAATCTCAATACAGAGGGGAAAAGCTCATATGAGCACAATTTTCCCTCAAAGAAATACGCTGTTTGATGCAACACTAGTAACGACCACTCAGGAGGGCAACTGCAGATGCGTTTCGGTTTTACGACCTCGGAAGCTCGGTAGCAGAAAATTCCGGAGGCTGCGCTGCACTGATGATGGGTCCAATTCGACCCAAAACGCGTCTACGGTTGCTCTCATGAGTGATCGTCACTAGTGTTGCACCAAACAGCGTATCTCTTTTAGAGAAAATTGTGCTCATATGAGCTTTTTAAAACCCCCTTTAACACACGTTGGCAAAAAAATCCTAACTTACTGTCTTAAAATTTTACTTGGAATTGGCGTAAAATTGGAGAAAAAGTCAGTGGAAGCAGTCAGGCACGTTCATTCGTTCCGGAAAATTATGCTAAGGAAATTGAATAGGGTTAAGTAATACGGAAACATCTCCGTTTGCGATTTGAGAACGTATAGAAAAATCAGGATTTTTTTTTTTTTTTTTTTGAGGCGGGCACTTTTTAGGGGCCACGTTGGCGCAGAGCCTTCATTTTTTAGGCGAATTTGGAGCGTTGGCGCCTATGCGTTTCGAACACTACTTGCAAGGTAAAAAAAAGATGCACAATCTTAGCGAGTGCTCTTTGTACCTTTTCGCAAAATGCAATCGAAAGTATTTTCACGTGGGAAGATAAAGCGCGGGTGCAAGTGTGTGTACTCACAATGACTCTGTGTGTTGGAGCATGTCGGAGTTGCGGTTGGAGAGGAGCCCGAGGAAGCCGTTGGACCTGCCACCGCGCATCTTGGAGGAGACGTTCCTGCGGGAGGCCTTCCCGGCCCCGACTCCCGGACTTGGGTCCGGCTCATGGTCCACCAGCGAGGGTGGCCCGTTCAGGCTGTCCCGCTCCGGCTGGTCACTGTACACTGCAACACAACAACAAAATCATCATTTAGTGTCCTTTAATCCACAATTTTTTGGACAGTTTTATTGTTGACGAGTTCAAAAATCGGTTTACAAAATGGACCGAACGAAAGAACCATTTGTATAAGGAGAAAATAACCTCGTGCGTGGGATCCGAAGTTTAGGTCATATGGATCTCCGAAGTTTTCAGGTTGAGCATCTGAACACTTAAGGTCTAGCTTCTGAGGTTTGGATCACACATCTGAAACTTCAGTTCTTACATCTGAAGTACTTCGGTTTTCACATCCGAAAAACTTCGGTTCTCACATCTGAGATAAGAACGGAAGTTTCAGATGTCAGACCTGAACTTCGGCAGCTAGGCGACCTTAAGTGTTCAGATGCTCAAACCGAAAACTTCAGAGATCTATATGACCTAAACTTCGGGTCCGGAAGTTTTTTTCTCCGTGACATCTTTCGCAGGTAAATAGCAATCTTCGGAAATTTACAAGCCACCAGTGAACAGACAGAAACACATACAATTTAGAAATAATGGAACAAAATTTGAGAATACGAATTATTTTGCTCTTGATGTGATTGAGCAATCCTTCCTCGGTAAAAAATGGGCAGTAGCAGACACACTCAGGAAGACGTGTGGTAAGAATTATGACGCTAATAATTGAGGGGCTTGGAGGACAAGGCGCATACGTGCAGTTTTTGAAAAAATTGAAATATTAATGAATTCGAGTAGAACTAATCTTGATGCATACTCTGTGAAAAATTTGCTCCCAAATTCAAATTCTTAAGCATTAAAAACCAATCCAAATAGAGCAGGCTACCTGAAGATTACTTTCTATTCTGCCTATTTTTGCCTATAAGGAAATGAGGAAAAACGCCTTATAAACATTCGAGAGTTGCCAAATGACCCCGGATGAAAATGTACATATATTTTTGAGAAAAGTTGCGAATATTATTCCTTTAGATCAAATATTTTGAATAAAATTTCGTACAAAATTGTCTGAAAAAACGTGGGGCAAAATATTCACGATTTTCCCAATAAGTTTTTTTATCGAAGGAAATATGGGAACGACCTCTAGCTAATACGACGGTCTTCCTTAGCACGGCAGTAATGTTAGCCAGGGCCAGATTTACCTACTTGCCGCCCATGGGCCGCCTGTATTTTGCCGCCCCCTTCTAATTCGTTTTGAAACATCAATAAAAACCATCAAATGAACGCACCGGAGGGGGAGGGGTACATAAGACACGTTTACTTACTCGTGTTGGATACATTTTTTTGCGAAAGCCCTGCGTCAACACTACTAACAAAATTTCACGGATCTTGACGCGAAAGTTAAGTTCCGTAAACCTACCTCTGTGTGGACAAGATCCTCCATTTATGAGAAATGAACCAAAATATTATGAAAGAACAAACATAAATATGGTTTAATAATTTTAACTTCCACCGCTGCGCCGCTTCGCGCTGATCGCACCGTGTTTGGCGCAATGCGTGAAGTATTCCTGAAATCTTGTAGGCGCTATGCGTTTCACGGCAACCGCTCCTCACCGCGTGACCGCACTGTGTTTGGCGCAATGTGTGAAGTATTCATGCAGTCTTGTAGGCGCTAATATGTGTTACATGTCGACCGCCGTGCCGAGGGCTTGTCCTTTTCATCTCAAGTCCTCGTCATTATTCCTCTCTGCGCTGAGTTCCAGGCAAAATTGCGTGTTTAGCTCGTCCCTTAACTCGACTAATTAAAGATGCTGTCTCTTATATCACCGAAAAACGACAAAATTAGAAATTACTATACTCTCAGGAAAAAGAGATTTTGTTTCCTTTTCTTATGGATTTTTTTTTCTGGATCCGATTTTTTTTATACCTACATATAAAAAAATTGCAAAATTTGCCGCCATGGGCCGCGGCCCATGTAGCCACCCCCTTAATCCGGCCCTGTTGGTAGCCGCAAAAATCATGCGAATTTCATTTTACAACTTAACCTATTTTTGTTTCTCATTAAGACCCCCAGATTCTGTTCACATTACGTTATTATATGATGTCACAATTGTAAAATACGATACAGCTGAAAATCCTAACTATGGACGTCGTGAACTCAGAAGATGTCAAGCGCTGCACAGAGAGAGGAAAAAAGACGGACCCGTTCAAAGGAGTTGTTAAAGATACGAAAAATATAACGGTGCATTCGAATGTTTACAGGACTTCGGGACCTGCGCGATTTAACAAGCCTGGTATCGGACACGGGAGGTGATATAGACGTATTTCTGCCAAACGGAACCGGGTGCATTAAGACATGAGCCCTGAGACCCATAAGAATATATGCATTATGCATAACAGGGCTCACGACATTATGCACATAGTTCCATTTGGCAGAAATACGTCCAGATAATGATATCAGTCACAAAAGCTCAGACTTGTTTCTTGGAAGTCGTCTTCAGAAGCCGAAAGAGTTGATTACTGGGAACGACACAACTTTGTCTTATTTATGATATCGATTCCACCACGCTACTTTGAGTGGGGAGTGAAAATTTCGGAATAATGCACCAACTGACAACTGTGTCATACAGGTTCCCTATTCGAGCTATCTGTATGTGGTGGAGTTGTACACTTTTGTGATTAATTTATTTCATTCGTTCTTTTTCAGGTAGCCCGAAAAACTATCGAGCTGTCGACGCCACCGCTTGCAAATGAGATTGAGCATTTTTCCCCTTGTTTTTATTTAATTATCTTCGAATAAGGTGCAATAATTTGATCGTAATGAACATCCATTAGTGGATTAGGAGATACGCAGTTTGGTGAAAAACAAGTTTGTTAATCAGCAACAACCATGGAGCGCATAATGACTTTCATTCGAATATTACTTCTTGAATTGACAATACCTTTGCTTAATTTTAATTTACAAGCGTAGGGCAAGTAGTGTTTCACACAAGATCCCGTTTGAAAAATAATTATTTCAAACTGTTTGAACTGACAATTAATAATCACAATAAAAGAAGAATTTGATGAAAAGATAGGTTGATGCAAAATATAAAAGATAACCTGAATAATATATTTTCGTAATTTTAATTTTATATTCTGTAACAGCTTTCTGCTCCGGATTAAGTTGTCGATTTACTGTGTTATTCGCTAATGAAGTGATTTCACCACTGACTGTGAGGAAAGCTGTACACAAAAAATTTTGACTCTTAAGATTAACTTTAACCTTATCAATTTAAAACATTCGTGCAGTCGGTCACGGATGTATAATGCACTGTATAGAGTATATCTAAGAGTATTTCAATTTTTAAACTTAGTCAACCCCAAAAACTTGATTTTATAATGCAGCTTGCACCCGGATTTCATCAATAAAAACCCAACAACCGAAAGTTCACTGAAAACGACTGCCAATTTGGTTTCCTTCAAACTCACACGTTACCCCCTCCCTGTCCCCTCAGAGGGGGATCTTCTCCGGAGGAGTGGGGACTGACCTGAGGGCTCGAAGAAGAGGGTGGCAACCCGGTCGTTGCGGGTGCCGTAGCTGTAATTATCGAAGGCGTACTTCTTTCCTTTCTTGGCCGAAAAGCACGAGCACATACTGGTATCACTTTACTGATATCACTATACTGGTATCACTGGTATCACACTGTAGCAGCACGAGGGGTCGGTATTTGGGGGACGGTAAAACGTGGAACGTGGGCTTTCTTGGGGATCGTTGCCACCGGACTGATTTCGGAACTCCACGATGTCGGTCTTGGTCGGGCCTCGAAAACGGATCAGCCAGCCCGCCGCACGGTGGGACCGGCCGCCGCCGCCCTGCCGTCATCGCAAAGAGAGCAGTAAGTGTCAAATTGTTGAAAGCAAGTTTCCTTCAAAATTCGACTAGTCGCTCTTGAATGAATCACTGAAATAGCCAAACAGCAAAATTCATCTTAATTGTATAAAAACAAGATATATAAGAAAGCTATAAATACGCAAAAAATGACGTTGTTTCAGGCAAGACAGCAGTAAGTGACATTATTCCTCCAGAGAGCCAATGAAAACGGAGGTGTCAAATGAAATGCCACCTTTTTGTGCCGATTTCAGACTTTAAATGTGTTTGTGTGTCCAAAACGCAACCACGAAAGCATGGAGAGATAGCACTCAAAGCTGTCTTACCTACCACTAGCCTAACATGAAAATGAATAATACCCTAATACCCTTTATGTAATTGAAGTAAAGTCAGTCGATTTTTGACCATCCGAACGATTTCAATGAATCTTCCGGATGATTAGTGGCAATTTGACAAAGAATGGAGGCTTCTTTCGATAAAATTTGCCGGTCAGAAGCTTCTGAGCCCGTTTTCTCAAAACTTCATTTTTGCACTTACGGCTCATTTCGCTATCACGGCAGCGGGATTCGTACATACATATAAGTCGCTTTATAGCACTCCCTCGCGCTCTACGACTCCTAACCACCACTGCTCTCTTTCAAACCACAAATCTTGGGGCATTGTGCACCTTAACATTTTCGCTTCCATCCCCTCCCTCCAACCATTCATTGGGCGCCCTCTGCGTCTTCTCCTAGGAGGAACCCAATCAAGGACCTTCTTCGGCAACCTGTCTCCTGCCATTCTCTGAACATGACCATACCAAATGAGTTGTTTTGTCATAATGTCATGCACGATGGTCTGCTTGGCATCCATGATCTCCCGTACCATCTCATTCCTGACGCGATACTTTCTGGAAACACCAGCGGATCTACGCCAGAAGTCCATCTCATTCGGACTTGGTAAATATCCTATCTCATAACTAACCTGCAGATATATAACATCAATATGCGATTCTGCGACCAGCGGGACTGATCCACCCTCCTCGAGTGGGCGCACCACAGTGCGACGGTGTCGATTAAGCCGCGACCCAAGCCCCAAGTCGAGCCGGGGGCGCCCACCGCGGCGGCTGAGTGTTGCGCTGCGCCTCGAGTGGAGATATGCCCGAATTAGCGCCCAATCGCCCCCCCCCCCTTCCCCCGGTCATGCTTTTACTTTCTCATCCGGAG